CTGTGTGTTGCAGGCACGCTGACGGTGAACGTGAGCGTGCTGCTCCTCAGCCTCGCCTCTCCCGACGAGTCGAGCCTGGTGAGTACCGTTGACGCTCCCAGTGTGTCCAAGTAACGGCTCTGTACTTGGGAGTAGCAGCACTATCATGGCCGCGCTGTCAACGCCTCTGCTAAGAGTCGACGCCAACCAAACGGAAACTGCCCGCTTCAGTTTGCGGAACTTGCCCATTCCGACGTGGATGCACGTCCTTAGGGGACGACCTGGCTAGTAGCGATAGTTCGCACCATCTTTAGTACTCCAATGTGTAAACCAGAGTCACATATTGTGCCTCACTTCTTGTTGATTCGTTTAAATGCGTAATGTGACACGAACATTCAGCAGTTTAATATGTTGTTGGTAAATTTGTGTGTGAAATGTTCTCCTTCCGATTTCTACAAGATACATTTCCGTCCTCGCGCTTCTAATACAATCAAACTTACTTATCTTTGATATTGTTTAATATGGATTTTTGGGAAAAGTGCCCAATATTTTGCATCCACAATTCGTACGTAGTTCACCAATTCCTTCCGCTGTAGAAAAGTCAAATGCTAGTTCTTTCATATGTATCTTAGTTTATTGTTCATTTTGGCAATAAACAATGATACCCATTAGAAAAAATTACAGTAATGATGTAGTAGTTTTTGTTTTTCTATCATTTTGTAATTACGCAATATTTTCTGTAGAGCGTAGTATCTGTATGATCCCTAGATTTATTTTTGTATTTTTCATGTTTCCTAAGTAACATCCCAATGAAATATTTCATGAAAATATTTCATTTTGGCAAGATAAATCATTGTATGCTTGACTAGAAATTGGAATGAGTAAGTCAAGTATTGATAATTATCTTGTAGTCTCGGGCAGTTGTTTGGATGGCAGAGACATATGGCCTATCTGGACGAGGCATAGCAGACGATGTGTGGACGTACACTCATTAGAGAGTTTTTGTCACGCACCACGGAAGTTGAATAACGCACTTGAATCGGAGAAAACAAAAACTTTCAATGTCCAGGAGTTTTAAATTTTGAAGAGCTAGCAAAAAGGGTTCTAAGTTGCGAACATCGATCGTTTTTTCTTAACATTCATAATTGAAGGACACTCTACAGGCGTCACAGAGTTCACTGACAAAGAACTATTACGCAAAGAAAGTTCATTTTATATTTTAAGGTCAGTGTCCTACCGTTAACTCAAAACCGGCAGATTGTGACGTCAAATCTTTTTGTTTGAACCGATTCACTTGTGTTATACTTTTTGTTATTTTATGCAGAAATATTTGTGAGTCATTAATCTCTCTTATCTTGGTACATCTATTTTTAGTGATGTATCAGCAATGCAGACAATTACAACTCCGTGGTTTCAATCTCAATTATTTTGTTATTTCGATATGTAAAATAGTTTCATGTCATTTTTTTCTGTTTACACTTACGATACCACACATCCGCACTGCTATGTTTTAGTCTGCCTTATACCATATGTTATCATCACTACTGTATTCGTCATCTTTTCATCTGCATCATGAAATCCTATTTCACTTTCCCTTCTTGAATACTGATCCTTAATGCCACCCATATATGTTCATTATTTTCCCAGTAACAAATACCGAGTTAACCTAATAGACATCTTCCTCATAAGGAACTTCTACTAAACACACAAAATCATAAGTTCAAATAATGTGTTGCTTCATTTATTTACGAACCGCCTAATTCGCCCCCCTTGTCCTTGCCCCCCCCCGTCTTTCCCCGATCCCTCGCTGACGCCGTTGGCCCCGCTCGCCTGCCTGCAGAAGTACGAGGTGGAGTTCCTGCTTCAACAGCAGTGGTTCGATCCTCGACTACAGTACTCCAACAAGAGCAAGTTCGAGTTCCTGAATGCCATTCACCACCATGAGGACGTGTGGCTACCCGACACCTACTTCATCATGCACGGCGACTTCAAAGATCCACTGATACCCGTACACTTCGCTCTGCGAATCTACAGAAACGGCACCGTCAACTACCTCATGCGGTAAGCTCCCAGGATTGGTAAAGATTTTTCGTTATAATCATGATGTACCTGTAGTTACATCGCGGTTACGTTCTTCAAGATTTTACGACTACTCTGATTGTTGCAGAGAGAAGTGAGGCAAAAAAACTCGATGTGTAGCATTCACTCGCTATGTAACTGCGAGTGTAGTATTCTTACAAACACATCCCTTTCCTTACCTAACGAACAATAAATGACTTTCAGTTGAATTGGGACATGCATTCATTCTGATCAGATGTTTTATTTGAAACTCACAATCTTGAAATTTTGGTCAATGACTTAAGGAAATTCTCTTCAGGTTCAGATGAATTTGAATGCTTAATCAAAAAATTAATAAATAGCATAATGAAGTGTTAAATAAAATATTTTTCCGTATATTCATCACACAAACCTGATGAATGGTCAATGAATTAACGGAAATTAAAAAAGTTGGCATAATGTTTGAGTAACTATTACAGAAGAATCGCTCAGTGCATGCAGCAAAGTTTGCTTAAATATCTTCGACTTCATTAAAAGTGTTCTATTCACATAGAAATATTTAATGTGTGTATAGAAGTAATGCATGCTGTCTTACAGAGCAAATTATTTCCTACGAGTATTTATATAATAGATTTAACGAAATTGTCGTTTATAGACCAATTATAAACCAAGAAAGATATTAAGTATTTTTGTTTAGTTATAATGTGTTCGAATACTTCTGTTTTTGAATGCAGAATAGTTTTTAAAGTGTAAAATGATGTATGACCTTTTATAAAATAATTCAATCAGATAAGGATTATAAAAGAGTATTTTAAGTAAGTTAAAAATAACTTGAGAAACTTAACACTGACATAACTTTGATGTTGCAAACATTCTAGTTATATTTAAATGATGTTTTCTTTTGCAGCCGTCACTTGATATTGTCGTGCCAAGGTCGCTTGCATATCTTCCCATTCGACGACCCATTATGCTCCTTCGCCATGGAAAGCAGTAAGTGCTACTTTATTGTTGGAAGTTTTGTCCGTATCAGGACTAAGTGTTTTGTGCGTTTTCTCTGTTTAAAAATATTGTGCAACGCGTACGAGTAGCTTACTTTTCCTTCCATACTCATGCCTTTACGCGACGATTCGCGTCCAAACTGTTACTGCCCCGAAGCGTTCGTATCTCCAGTGCTTAGCGAGCACACTAGAGGAACAGAAGGAACTGTTGTTCTGACGAAAGAGAGAGAGACCGTTTATTTGCCCTGTTTCAGTATCCTATGAGCAGACAGCCATCATGTACGTGTGGAAAAACGACGAAGACACGTTACGGAAATCGCCCAGTCTCACCACACTCAACGCGTATCTCATACAGAACCAGACGGTGACGTGTCCCATCAAGGCCATCTGGAGAGGTGAGGCCGAGAGCAGCCATGCTCGCGACATGCGCCGCGCTGCGTCCGCGTGCACCGAGGGGCCCAGGGCCGCCCAATGCGTCGCGACTGCGAGAAAACACCTTTGGAAATCGACTGAGGCTCAACTGGCAAAATTGAGCGAAAGCCACCCGCCAATATTCGCTGTCAAATCTAAATGATCGATTTTTTTTTAACGTTTTGGCACGACAACATCTTACAACTCAGCCTCCAATGTTCGAAAAGTGGGCGGCGTGTTCAGGTCCCTAGCAATTTCCTATTGAGAAAGAGCAAAACTTTAATTGTAAATAGTTTGAAAGAGAAGGTTTGTCCTTAGGCTTCATTCTACACACAAAAACCGTAACGTTTTGACGTCATCGGGGCGCGACGGCAGACACGCCGCGAAAATGATTTTGAGCTATTTATCCCAATTAACACCGCTTTAGCGTTTATTTTCAATATCAGAAAGTTACGAAATTCGAATACAGTTATCGTGGTGTGGTGGTTACAGTTACAGTGGCGACCTTGGTCACTATTTCCGAAGAGTAAGCGATTACTAATAGAGAGGAATGTGCCTAAGCACGAGCACGGATAAACTCAATTTTATGAAAAACTTGTACTTCAGTTACTTCTAAACTGATTTAAACAAATCTAACGAAGTATAAATATTTCCTCTCACCACCCATTGACTTTTCACAATATTGAAGATGCATATTCCTGAAAATCATTACTTAATATTACAAAAACATTTAATGCATATAAAAACTGGAACTTAACTCCAAAAAGTTAGTGCGACATATTATTTTAGTGTAAAACTGCTTTGAATGAGTGGAATAGTGGTGAATCCCGCAATCGCCGATAAGAATTATTGCCATCGTAACTCAATAATCTTCCCTATGTGATCTTCGCGACAATTGCGTTTCCTCTTAGATGTATAGTCGACAGATATGTCTTTTTAGTTCCTTTCGTTATTGTGACGCTATGTCGAGTGGATTTACTAAAGCAGGAGGTAATATAAGTCAACCCTAAGTGTTCAGGTTAATAGTTGCTCGCTATTCTAGTGAAAAATATTTTAATGTTTCATTTGGAGGCCAGAAACTCCAGAGGTACGTCCGTTTTTGTTTTTTGTTTTTTAATTTGCAATGCTTACTGTAAAGCTTTCGTCTCAGAAGGGTACTAATTTAAGAATTAGCTAATATAATGCCATTGGTTCCGTTCAAGTACGTCGCCAACAATCTATGTTTTGTAAAAGAGTGAATTTCATCAGAACACAGAGTGACCATAAAAGGTTAAAGGGTCGCGTTTCTTGTGAACGAAAAAGAGCATGTTTTCACTGAATGTCAGTAAGACAACTGTCTGCGGAAGAATCTAACAATGACACAAACTAGTGGTACTAAAATAACACGCACTTTTTTGACAGTACTTTCACACAAACTTCTCGAAAAGTACGCAAAGTTTCGAAAAATTGTACATGACATTTCAAAATCTATCTTCCAGGAATAGATTTCATTAAGGGAGAAATCTTTATCTTTAATATTTTAGTTATTGGAAGACTCCGAAAAAAATTTGAACTTTTGTAATTTTCGAAACATTAGGGTTTCGACGAACGTGAGACATGCACCATTCTCTTAAACGTCTTTCACACTATCCAACAACTAATTTTAATCAAAAACGTTGGAGCAATTTGTTTTTTGAAAATTTGGTAAATATTCCAGGACCTTCATGTAAAGTAACCTCAAAATTAAAATATCGGTTTCCAAACCAAAAGGCCGCGACACCAGTTAGATTGATAGGGTAAAAAAAATTGGAGAAAATCGGCTGAACGGTTTTGCTGCTAGCGTTTTTCACAGAGTTTTTCACACTTTTTGATGAACAATTTCTCCTCCATGATAATCTGAGATAGGTTTTACAATAGTAATATCATTCTGTTAATAATTAATTTACTATCTCGTTTACTTACCAGTTGAATATATTCACTTTTGAAAGCTTTTTCTCCACTTACTTGTTGCTCTTCTAATTTACAGATTATAAAATAGTATGTAATACCGCATGGGTATTCTGATTCACTAATTATTCAAACTATTTGGTCACTGTTTTGTAAACTTGCGCTATCGTTCATTAGGTTTCAATAAAATGATTGGATATCTAGTCGTTTAATTCCCAATATTACAAAGAATTATCTTCCGATTTCTCGCATTTCACTAACAATGCTGATTTCGATTACATTGCTTACGGCTCAGGGTGTTCACATCTTTGGCCCTCAGACAAGGAGAGCTCTGACGTGCGGCTTGTTGGAGCTTGTCGATTTTACATTTCTTGAGTTTGTAACCACATTTTGACTTCTTTTTTCTTCAGCTCGTTTTTGGATATCTTCTTGACACAAATAACTATATTTTCTGATCTCTTATCAAATAAGTATATGAGCATTACTTCTTGATCTGATTTGATTTTTTTTGTCAAAAAAAGTAAAAAATATATGTTATACAAAACTGTAAATTTGATTTTATAGTATTGTTAACAAAATAGCAACCCACATCCGCGGATTTAATCATACTCATAGTGAAGCTACATTTATATCCAGAAGCCCAACAGGGGGCTATCTTAGCTGTTACTCAATGATTCAAGGGAAACTACGGTCGAGGGAGGGATCATTGACCGTGAAGGTGAAGTACCTCACTTGTATACAGGCATATTTAGTCTTTTGGAATGTTACAATACAAATGTTTACTAATCCCTTAAATATCATTGTTAAAATAAATATAATTTTACTTTACGAAGCTTTGTTTTCTTAAAAGAAAGATATTTGCAATAAACAAACCTATAGACAATTACACAGATGATGATTTCCGCGCTTTCTCACTGCTTCGAACTGTAATTTTCTAGTATTCTTATCGTATAGGATATTATGAAAATTGATGATGTTTTGTTAGCGTTTTTACTCGTATCCTTGAGCTTTGTCGGGAAGAAAAAAAAATATCACAGAAGCGTAATATGGAGTCGTGCCTAACCGCGGCGAACCAAAGGGCACACAGGGCGAAAAGCAAGGCGCGCGTACGCATGCAGAGTTATGACGTCCAAAGTGGAGGCCACGCTTTTTGAAAGTTATCTCGTTATCCAAAAAGTGTATTGATAAACGGTTTTCACAAAACTGTTAGTGATAGTTTGGTTAGTCATTTACACTGGTTAAAAAAAGTCCATCCTACATATTGCCCACGGCCATGTAGATGACACAATCCAAACAACCTTTACTTTATTAAATGCACATACTGGGCAGACAATTCTGGAAATTCATGATATTCTTACTAGTGACATTTTTAATATGACTTTATTTACTGAAATGTTCAAATATTTTAGTTTGTGCAATCAAGAATTGATAAAATGTTCCAGAAAAATATTGTGAGAATGATAATTCATATTTGATTGTACGATTTCTTTTCACACTTTCGTTTTCTGTTCTGATAGTAGCAAAACATATCGCAGAAGATAACAAAACTACGTACATTGTGGTTCTGTTATATCGACACAGAAATGCATTATCCAAAGTCTTAATTTTCTTTGAATTTGTTAAAATAAGTTTATTACCCACGGAAAAATAATCATGTAATGAATTATAATATTTATAAGTTTTTTTTTAATTTCAAGGTCCACATTTTTACCAAAATCTAGAAATTATAACTTAGAAATTATTTGAAACCAGAAAAGATTTTCTTTCTTTTCTTTTAAATGATGATATTATTACTTTTTAACATTATTATGTAGAATTAGGTGTTATTTGAATATTATTTTATTGGCATTTACTACTATAAATTGTCAATGTTTCAAATATGACTAAGTTAGTATTAATATTTGTCAGAATTTTTAGTTTTTGCTATTTTGTTGTATGCAGTATGAAATGATACATGAAATAATAAGAGTCTCAATGATTCCATTTGTAAATTTATAAACCATTATAATTCTAAAATTTCTTTTGAAGCCCAATCTGGGAAAATTACCTCAAAATTAATACAATGCACTTTCGTGGAGACAAATGTGACATAAAATGCCACCTACGAAATTCCTCTGATACTTCTAAACAATTATTGAGGAAAAGCTTCACTGTTATTTGGCCATTCAATTTATTTTTAAGTCATTATTTTTTATGCATTTCTATAAAAATGTAATAATTTGTAATGAAATTTGGACAGCATATAACTATTTGAATTTAGCTTACTTACCGGGAAAGGGCGCAATTTTTTCAGAACCAAAATCATGGATTTTAAAAGTGAAGTGTGAATTGATTTAGCCTACATAACAGAACATCCGTATTTTGTAAGCACTTACAACGAAAGCACGTGGAAAGGCGTCTTCTTATAATGCGCCGGGACGCCTCATTATGCATGTCTAATTTCATGAATTAGGCTCCGACCTCCGATCTTTACTATTAACATAAAGCATCTTTGGAGTCTAACCAACGCATTTCCAAAGTAATTCGGAGGCTGTGACTTTCGGAATTTATATAAAACAAAGTGTATATCAAAAAAAATGTTATGAACTAAATAATTATAAATATTTGGTACTACAATCCTGAGTAGCAATAATAAGTGCTTTATACATCTTTTTTCACCGTTCACGATTTCTATTACCCTCGCCCAAAGTATTGCCATTGTTGTGCCGCACCTCAATCACCGTACGGTTGGCGAAACGACTTATGAAAGCTTACATTTATTAGGTTAACAAAAGATTTCAGCAAGTGAAGTACGCATGCCGCATAGATTCCCCCTAAGTAAATTTCAGCCAATAATTTTAATAAAATAAAGCTTCGAAGAACAAATAATGAACAAATTCTTTATTTTTTGCATTGAAACAGTGAAGTTAAATAAATTAATTTTAATTAGGTATAATTATTTGGGGTTCTTAGTAACAGTTTGTGTGAAAGTTAAAAGTAGTAAAATTTCTGATCCATACTTTCCTGAATGTTTTTATGCAGTGTGTGTTTTATTAACACTTACATTCACTTACACCAT